CAAATGCGAAGCGATTTCATTGGAATACTGGCCACAAGACTCGAAATGCTAAAGCCAAAAGATGGACAAATCGTTTCGTCGTTGTTGAACGAAATGATCGGAATGACCGCAGATTGTATCCAACGATGCCTTCACCATTGGGAATACACTGGGTACACTACACTCACCATCGACTCAAAATGATGAAAAAAGGAATGGATGTATATGCAACAACAAAATACACACGTCTCCGTTTTGAAAAATATATCAGAACAGTTCGAGCATCTGATGAAAAGGCTGGTGAATTGGTCAACTATAAACCATCCATTATATTTTTTGGTGCTGCAGATACACCACCTAACTCACCAATTAGGATCAAACGGCATATGCGATGTCCCGGTTCCCGAAAACTGTGCGCAAGTTTCAAAAAACGTGGCAACTGTGTTATCGTTTTTGTGGATGAAAAATTTACCAGTCAAACGTGCGCCAGATGTATTGGTCGATTTGATCCGAGAACCAAGAGTCATCGATTTAAGGTATGCCAAAATTGCCGTCCACGCTTTGAAGCAATGTTGCCATCCATGGTAGTAGCAAAGAAAGGGAGACGACAATTACGACTCGATCGATTGCAAATTTTTTTGCTACAGCTTGAAGCGATTGAAAATGCAACAGAACCAGATCAACAAAAAGCAGACTCTTTATTGTCAAAGGTGTTGATACACACATATGAATGGCTAATAAACCCTGTAAATGGCGAAATGGAAAATGTTGTGGCTGAACAATCGAATGAACTGTATCAAGAGAGTGGATGGTATCAACAACCTAGCGTACGGAAGACTGTGTGGGACCGCAATATCGTTGCCGCTAAGTGCATTTTGATTAAAGGTACATATGAATTTAAATTGTACCATGAAACAACGTATTTCTTTGCATATTAATTGATTTGTATTTGTTTGATTACTTTTAAGGGCTTTTTAAGCTGTTTAACATTCCAATCAATGAAGCTCTTCTGCAACATGTACCTTGGAACTCACCACCTGATAATCAGCATTAAACATCTACCATCGATCATTTTCATCAAATTAATTCAAAAATTAATATAGTAACATAATGTTACATTACCGCTAGGCTTGAGTGTTGTGGCCTAGTTAGCGCAAGCAGGAGTACTACATCCCATTGAATGTAAGTAAAAATGATATTGTTTAATACTTTGTTTTTGTTTGTTGCCCTCAAAAATGAAAATATTGATTGCAATTTTATTCTTGGACACAAAAAATCTATTCACATTGTAGGAGCTAACAAACAAATTTTAGCTGAAGATTATTTTCACAAAAATATTTATTTTTATTATTGGTTTGTATTTTCAGTGCTGATGTCTAAAACTCAATTCAATCGGACACCCTAATGTGTACATACTATATTTCAGTAAATATTTGTTCAGCCTGTGGTCGTTTACGTTGTTTATTTCACATCTTATTTTGCAAAGCAAATAATTTTTGTGCTGCCGATCGTATATAAATACTCTTTGCAAAAACATAGCATGAAATACTAATTTTCTTGCTCTCTTTCATCTTTCTACAAACGATTTTATTTGAAGCAAGGCATTCAAATGAAAAATATCAATTCAATGTCATAATTATATTTGATTTTTAACATTTCAATTTAAATAATGCGATTCTTATTCATTCTTGCTTGTGCTTAAGTTTTGCCTGTGAAAGACCGTGCCAACAAAATGTGACTTTTCAAAATATACGGTGTTTCCGACTTTCAATGTATTTTCTTTTTATTTTATAGCGATTTAATGCTCGCGCAAAAGTTTCACAACTTTGTGTGCAGTGAAATTAATATTGCAAATGAAACGATATAAGAAAATGGTTAACGAGGAAAAAAAACTCTAGCTTGCACTCAACTGCGAAAATGGGATACATTTCAAAAAGATTTTATGAAATATGATAATGGTAAGAAACACTTGATCAGGTGGCGGGTGAGAGGTTTGGCTTGCAAAGGAGAAATATATGCGAAAAAATAACTAACCCGAATGGGAGACACACTTTTCGTCCAAAGAAAATATCGGTGGATTTCATCTTCCGAGGGTTCGATTATCTTCCTCTAAAAAAACTGAGAACGGCATTCCCCAAACTGAGGGCCTTTTTGCTCTTCATATTTTCTGAGACCCTCTATCGATTTGTGTCAATAACCACTGCCCTCGAAAATCTTTAGCGTGCCCACCTGTGACTATTATGCAACTGCATCGGCAAGAGCCACAAGCAATTTGCGACGATAAAGAGAGAAAAAAGAAGCTATTAATATTCAACAAAAATATGGTTATATTATTAGATGAAATTGCCAAGGAAAAAGGCACGAACCAATACCGAAACGCATTCACACGGAATCCATAGATGGTGGGAAGAAAATATCGAAGAAATTTGAGTCATACACATGCACACGGAAGAGTATGATGGAAAACAAAGTTATGGTTGAAATGCACGGAGAGTGCTAGTGGAACAACACCAACACCGACGAAACGTTATTTTCCAATTTAATTTTATTTATTGAAATGTTTTAACTTCTTGCTTATTTTGAGCAAAAGGGGGAAAAAAATAAGATGAAAAAGTCGCACAGTCTGCATTATACTCATTTGGTCGTCATCCTCGATTTCGATTCATTTTCTTTCTTCTTATTTGTTCTAGTTCGAGGTACTTATTATTTCTTTTGCTGAACATTTTTCACAGTTTTAGTTTAATGTCAGAGAAAATGTTTCGAAAGTATCGTCATGATTAGAATGGAAAAGAGTGTTTATTGCCGCTTTTGCGGTTGAATGTAAACTTTTGAGAGTCAGAAATAACAAAAACAAAAAATGGTAACGCATTTTGAAAGAGAGCACAAACAAGCTGTGCATTTTATTTTCGTTGGCTTTTGTGTGCGTTGCACTTCTTGATGTTTTAAAGAAATTGAAATGTTTACATTGAATTGTTTAAAATGCTAAAACGATTGATATGAAGAGAAAAGGAGAGGGAGAGAGAGAGATAATACTATTTTAACATTAAAATTACAGATGTGGTACGGATTTTTGCTTTCTATTTTCCATGAATGGAATTTTAAGCAAACATCTCGTATTATGATGGGTTAAATTTCAGACCAAACAAATTGAAGATGGACGATTGGACGTTAAATGAGAATCAAAACTATGCGATTTTACATGGACGAAGCTAGCTACTACCAAACGACAATGTTATATGTTTAAAAGCGGCCGTGAACGATAAAGATCCTGAACTTGGTTGGAAAATCTACACGTTTTTTTTGCATGTTTACGTGGAACATTTTCTACAATACATTGTAGATTATTCAAAAATGCAAAATTAGAGTCAAATTGCCACTCAAAACATTGTCCGAAGTTGGTGAATGAATGAAATGTGTTTCTATTGAAAATATTTAGTATGTTAAAAGTCCAATAGACACATTCTCAATAAAAATTACCATAAAAATTCCATAGAATTTTCGGTATTTTGATACAATTTCTGGTGGTTTTAATATATTTGTTAGCCAAAATTGAATAATCTACAAATTTTGTAGATGACATGGGAAAAAATATTTAATTTACATGGTAGTAATCTACATTTACAAAATGTAGATTATGTATCAAAGTAATCTACATACCAATCCAGATTCTGAAAGAAACGAAGACATTTTTTTCTTCATCGGAATCGAATTGCAAACCAATTAAAAAACACTACAATTAAAAGTTGTTTTTGGTTGGTTTCGAGCACACATCCTTATGCATCATTTTTCCTATCGGTTTTATTTCGAAATTTTAAATGGGGGCTGCGTTCACATTTGGAATGTTCTCTGGTGTGCACCATTCTACATTTATTCATGCAAACACCCTACAATATTCATCTGGATTCTTTTAATCTCAATCCGTTGCATAAAATTGTTTATTTATGAATTCGAACATACGCCGTTCTGGTGCACATTGCGCACTCTGTTACATTGCACACTAGTATTTGTGACGAACAATGTACGAACATCGAGACAAAGTGTGCCAAACTAATGGCAACAAAATACGACTTATACACATGACTTTTTCACAATGAACTACAGCAGAAGAAAGAGAGAAAATACAATAAAAAAAATAATCTGCAGCCATAGCAGCAGCATCAATGAATGAGCACTGAAGAATGAAATACGAAAAGCTGCATTGTTGAAATAAAACCTTGAGAGAAAGAGAGAGAATGAAAGTGAAACGAAAAGTAGTGTTTACATTGCATTAAATTAAATAATACTGGCCACAAGTAATTTGGTGGCCAAGCACTTTACAGATTATAAGGAACGGTGTATAAGTATCGCTGTGTGATGAGATTTAATGGCAACGAAAACGACTATGAAAATTCTGATGTTGATGATGATGAGAAAGAAATAATGAAAAGGAAAAGTGAAAATGTTTACACCACAAAACTGTCGTCTAAATGTCGACCACCCAAGTAAAGATGCATCGGATGTGTACGGAGAATGTTCTGTGTTGAATCTGTTCATTTGATTTCGATGCATCTTGCACAATATGTATATATGTGTTATGACACATGATTCTATGCTCATGTTTAATGAAGAAAACCATTTGAGTTTCAACAACCAAATTCAACAACAAATTCAAACGAAACACTTCACATCATCAAATGTGCAACCATTACACTTTAAATGACTTTGATTCGTGTTTCAATGATTTATGATGTAAATAAAAACAGCTTATTGAAATAATTGTCTATTGGATTGAAAATTAATTCACAGCACAACAGCATAATGTCAACGAGAACATAAAAATACTCTTATTTGCTTGTTATGATAACAATCAGATTGCTAAATAATAAAAACTCAATTAAAGAGCATAATTGATTGGGTCAAAAAAAAACTCTGCGTTCCACTTTTATAGACTCTGAGTACAAGTCGGAATTTTATTCTGACCCATTCGATTCGAGTATAAAAGATCTAAAAAAAAACAAAATAACATTTCAAAACCAAATAGTGGGCAAAATAATAAATAAATAAATTTTTCTACTCTATACAAAAAATTTCGGTGTACAAGAGAAAAATCAGTACGATGAAATTGTATTGGACTGCAGCTCAATGTGTACTTTATAGTTATTGTTGTTTAAATTCAAATGTATATATCGATCGATGCATTAACGAAGGGCAGATGCAACACATATTTCTTGAGAATTGGTAGATAAAGTGTTCAGAAATTCCGTGTAAAAAATATGGTATTCTCAAGTGTTAATGACTAAAAATAAAAAAAGGCAATGCCAATGTCAATCGGAAATATTATTTTTCAGACATGCTGTTTTTCTATGTATAAAATATGTGTTAAAATGTATTTATATTTTGCAGACTTTAGCACATGATTCTAATTTTTTCATATCTTTTTGCTTTTGGTTTACAAATCCTACAATAATTTTTCATGAATGTTCACCATGTCTGAAGCCAATTAGTTTCATTGCATAGTTGTTATTGGGTTTGTTGTATTCAGTAACCGATACGATCTCATCATTTTCGTCAATCGTTTTTTTCTTACCATAGATAATTTTTTTCTTAATTCGCTACAAAATTGATTAAAAAAAATAGAAATGTCATAGTGATTATCCAAAATACATGAAAACCGCGATATGATCGTTTTTTTTTTTTAATTTCATCCGTCTGATGTTTAGCACATTTTTCCGGTATTTAAGCAAATATTTTGATTGTAGACTGATAGCGAACGCCAATATGATTGTAAAACAAATGATATGAAATGGTATGAAGATGATATTATGAAAGCAGTTATAGTTTGAACGTGAAATTGATCAAAATGAAAGTAGGCTCGTTAGCAGTTCTGAAAATATTTGTTCTTTTCTTTATTATTTTCATGAAAATAAAGTTACCTTTGGGATGGAATTTGGTAACACAACTTGTTTTAAACTTCAAACACCTTAAAATCAATGTTTTTTTTTAAAAAACTTTATTTGTTTTCAGAGGCCAAAAGATTTTAGAGTAGAGTATGTAAAAATCTGCGACACGGATAAGGAGAGTCCAATTAAAATGGAATATTTCAACATTCTTCGAGCAGAACGCCAGAAGTACACATTAAATTCATCAATTAAAGTCTCAAAAGACATTCAAGAAATATTATATGTAATCAATAACCATAGATTGTTGAGTGTTAACCATTGATTTGTTAATAATTTTGGTGATTTTTACTTTTAGTTCAAAATGAGTGCTATTGAGTGTTCATTAAGTAGAGGAAAGTGTAACGATTTGCTGGCAAAGGGCACACCAGATATATGCAACTATATTAATAAACCGAATTCAATATGGTCGAACGTAGTCAACACCTCGAAGCCACCACTAAGATGTCCCATTAAAGCCGTATGTTATTCATCTAACTACATTGATGTTTAAATTGAGTCATCTAATAACCGATATTTCAGGGCACATATCACGTGGAAAATAGTACGTTTGACTTGAGTTTGGTTTCACGAATCCCTATTGATCCGTGTACATTAATGATTAATCTCACTATATTTGATTATTTTCCTGTTTCGAACCGAAAAAGACGTGATTTAGTTTGCATTTCCGTTAAAGTAACAGTAACGCAAATTAAATCACGTTTATCAGAAGTTTATCAAAACCGCACTGGTGTATAGTATATTCGGTTTGACATTTTTTTGCTATCATTATGCACTATACAACATTTGTTCACAAAGAAAATATAATGAAAATAAAAATATGATATATGTCAACTCATATCTTTACAGTTAAAGAAACCCCAGAAACTAGATACATGAAAAAACGAATCTGTTATACATTTCTTTTGGACCTTTTTTTCGCTTTGACAGAGAAATTTTTACGACACACTAGATAGAATGGATATTTATTGTAAAAAAAACCTACTCCATAGAATTTTGACCGCGCACACTACTGAGCAATGATCATATCAGTACAGTGTTTAAACATAAAAATCAGTATATATCTATGGATTAAATGATGAGTCTGTGCATCATTTCTGATGTTTACCATTTTTTTTCCACCACTACCACCACCAACATATATTTATCGGTTTATTTAATATTAAATAATGGCCATTAACATTAATTCCGAAGTGGTTGCGTGTCATTCAAAATTCAATAAAATCGATATGAATTGATCTGTGCAAAAACCTCATTCGCAATATAAAATGATGCTGCAACCAAACTGATAGAATTTATATACACAAGCATACACATATATATGTATAAATCGATGGGAAACCAAACTGAATGTTCGCTGTATGTATGTGTGTGTGTATGTTTTTTTTTAATTAGACTCATTTGTTAATGTCTTTATTTAATCATGCCATTGATCAATGTGAAGGAGATTCTTTCTGATACTTTAATACAACATCGATAGATTTTGGTTTCGTTTCGAGAGGAATGAAAATGGAATCGGACACGGCATTGTTCGAATGCATCAATCTGAACAAAACGGCGCACATTATTGTTTCAGAAACAAAACATCAACAGCAGCAGCAGTAGCTGCATCAACACCATCAGCATCATTTTCACCGATTAAAATGCGATAACGCTCCATGAAATAATCTAAAGTTGATTATAACGAATTAAATATCTCTCAACTGTTCCCAGGTGTGTGAAATCATATTAAAAATCGCGCCCAATCAATTCGCTACTTGAAAAACATCAATTTTATTATTTTCACGTTATAATCTGTAGATTTTCTTTCCCACTTATTCACCATACTCTTTTACTCTCTTTTCCACCATTCAACCAATATACACCGGTAATGCGGTAATTTTGTTTTCTCCAATCGTTTTTAATAGCCTTTATGGTTTTAACAACGATTGGCTGCATTTTAATTTTTGGTTCGATTAAGCGCGTGATTGAAGGTAATTTGTGACCAATCAAATAACAATATTTTTTCAGACAAAACATGCTTTTCGAAATTTTATTATACATTTCGATGTTCGTTGCTTACGAGTAAGTACTGACTGGATTTTCTGAAAATTTTCACATTTTTGAGCGTCTATTTTTAAATAGATATAAATCGTTTCTGCAATAGACTAATTATATTGCAACTTGATTTTTTTTGCATTTTAAAAACTGGTGGTCGATCTCTTTCAAAAGCTGCAACTTTTGCCTCAATGAACAGATTTTGTTAAAATTTGGAACATCGTGGTTTGAAAAATAATATCAGCGACACCAAACCATTTTTCACGTCATTATCAAACTGCCTGGTATGTATGCGTTTGTAGAATGAAGGAATACAGATTTAAAACAATGAGCATAGCAATGCCTAGCTTAAAACATAAGTTTTTCTCTATTGCTGCAGTCGCTTTCGAACTCATTATGCAGTCGAAAATATCACTGGAAAAATAAATGCGGAATAGAAAAAGTCTCAAAATTTATATGTTTGTATTATAGATTGTGTCTCTCTTTTTCGAGGCATGTGTGTATGTATATTCAAACTAAGCAAGGGCGAAAGTGAAAAGAAAATATGTGAGAGTGAATGAAAAAAATGTACTTCAATGCCATTTTTCGTTGAAAGGCGCAAAGAGATGCGTAAACAGTTGAATAAAAATCTAATGCGTTGGCTGGAAAATTACCGCACAGTACCTCAGCTATAAATTAATAGTTTACGAAAAGTGTTATTTTGACGTGTCCCGGAGGAGAAGCATAGCAATTCGTATTTTCAAATATACTTTTCACTATACATTCTAACAACATTTTTTTCTTCTCTCCGCTGGTTTTGTGGGCTCGAATGATTCTCGGATGAACAATGAGAATGAACAGAGAGAAAGAGAGAGAGAGCGATCGATGCCACGCTTCAAAATATGCTCATAGAATCAGACTCATCGAAAGCAATACACAATGAAATGGTAAGGACTTGGCATGGTCGACAAGTGTGTTAAACGGTTACGTGGATTGAGTAGCGGAGGATAGCAGTTGGAACATTGAAAGAAGCTTATAGCAAAATTAATAGGATTCAAAATTTAATTTTTCCTTTTTTGGTCTTTAAAATGGAACAAATTGTTGAAATTGGGAGATTTTTGAATATTTTTTTTACCAAAGAAAAACTTTAATTTACACATTTCAAATGTAATAGCGAAATTGTAAAAACGAAACGCATACTGAATTAAAAAAAACTGAACGTATGTTCAACTCACTGACCATCACAAACACATTCCCTTACACAATCACTCACACTCCATTCATCGCCGTCACACTAATAAGATACGATTACCCTTCGCCCATCCCATGACAAATACATGGCGTAGTTAACGGTCACATGCGAACATATGAATTTTATATTTTTCAATTAAAACAGCAGTAAAATTAATTTTAGCTTTGTTTTGCATTAGGTGAACATTTGTGTTAAATTAGTGGAAATATGTTTGAATACAAATGGACGTGAGTGTCCATGGTGTGTGATTACCTGGCGCGTTAGATGTTCGCTCCCTCTTTTCTATTTTACTTCGCTCATTCGCTCACATATTGAAGGCCTTTATGTTTCGAAGCATTCACGGTCCAGCACTTCAAAAACCATTTGCATCGTTGATTCTTGCAACCCATTCCTATATTCAATGGTGTCGTTCAATTTTCATTGCAGTTCAGAGACACGACGTGATTATACAGAGCTGGTAATTTCACTCTGGTAATGTGCGAAATGAGTATTCAATTTTCAACCGTTTTTAAACTCTGAAAAAACATTTATTGCAACAACTAACTCGATCACTCTCAAAAAGATAAAAAAAAATGTGCGTCCATAGTAGACAATCACACACATACACATTACTCGAAATATGGGCACATTATGGTGTTAGTTGACAGTAAATATCCCACTTTCTGTCCGGCCAAAATGGACATTCAGACATAGGGGCAACTACGGACAACATTTTGACCGTCTTATATTTTATGGTTTGAACACATTTTGACATGCCAGTACTGCGACTCTACGAAGTGCCAAACGAAATTTTCGGAATGTAGAACAATAAATATGTTATATAAGCCATAGGCAAAAAAAAACTAAGTTTCTGAAAGTTTGAAGAAAGGAGCGAGTACGACGTTTCCCCCTTTGCTAAGCGAAATAAATCCGATATACGGCGCTGATTTAAATGTCACTCTATGTCATTCCACAATGATACATTTTTTGGCTTGACAATATATAAGCTCTTCATTCAACATGCATAATTTTTGAACGGTCGAGTAAAAAAAAGAAACATATCATAAAATATTCTTTTTACGTTTATCATAAAAATTCTCTATATTTTAAATATATTTGTTTAAAAATAACAATAATTTCAATTTTTTTCATAGATTGAACAAGAATCTAATGTAAAAAGTAATACCAATGCGACACCTACCGTTAAAATAGAAAAGGAAACTTATTTGGAATTGTAACATTTTGGTCCGCCATAACAGCATCTTCGTTTTGCTTCTCTGTGATTGGTCAAGTAAAACGAAGATGCTGTCATGGTGGACAAAAATGCTACAATGGAGACCAACTAAATTTCTTTTTGCATTTTTACGGTAGGTGTCGCATTGTCATTACTATTTACATTGGATTCTTATTTAATCGATGAAACATTTTTTGTTGAAATTATTGTAATTTATAAACAAATTAATTTTTTTATAAAAAAAAAATTTAATAAATTTTTTAATGAAAAATGTTAGAAAAATATTTTATGACATGTTTTTTTTTCAACGATTCAATAATTATGAATGTGTATGCATTTTAAATGAAGAGCTTATATATTGTCAAGCCAAAAAAGTATTATTGTGAAATGACAGAGTGACATTTACATCAGCGCCGTATATCGAATTAATTTCGCTTGGCATAGGGGGAAATATTTTGGCAGATAGTACTCGATCCTTTTCATTTAAATTTAGGGTGATTCGCATGAAAATTTTGTATTTGCTGTCGATTTGTATGAAACTCTTGGACATTCGGTATGAAGCACAGAGAAAAATAAATAGATATATTTTTCTCAATTCTCATATACAATTAAAGGTCACCGTTGAGCTGCGTCGCACATCAAAGCAAAACAATATTTTGTTGGCCAGAAGATGGCATGCGAACCAAAAACGGAACGAAATGATGCCTTGAAAACAAAACAATTCATTTGCTGCATGACAAGACAACACCTAACACTATACATTGTACGGAAAACGCGTGTACTGAGTTTTCTCCAAAAATGCCCGTGACGCGTGTGAATGTGTCTCTTTGTGTGTGTTTGTGCTGACAATTTTAATCGATGCACCCAGGATGCGCCTTTTTATAACCGTATGAAAATTTGTTGTTGTTGATGATGTATAGTAGCTGAGTCAGCTCCGTAGCGTAAACAATTTTTATTAAATGAGACTAAGCCTCATATGCTGAAAATATTAAAAATGAGATTTTTGAAGTTGAAATAAAAAAAACGCCAAAACTTTTTCCAATATTTTTTTTTGTCAGAGCCTCAATCGCTTCATAGATAGCTACGAGGTGGGTCTCGATTGCACGGCTGATGTTTTCTGATGCATAGCCATTGTTGTTGTTGTAAATTGTTAAATGTTCTACTCCTGTTGTACACACATAAGCAAATGAAGGTGTTGGTGGCCAAGTTGATAGAGGTTGGTTTTTCCGGTGCCTTATAATTATGACTAACACCATG